TCTCTAATTTGTTGATTCCGAATCTGGACCGAATTCATAAGTTCTTCCGATAATTCCTTATGAGCAGCAGATATCTCTTCCTTTATTTTAATTTCCATCACAGCAGCATGATTTTTTAAGGCCTCAGCTAAGGCCACGCTTAGATCTTTTTGCAGTATTTCTCAGGTCAAAGGCTCTCCTACAGGGGTAGGAAGGGATTGGGGGGGGGGGAGTAGTGACTGTAATTTAGTTCCAGAAGCAGGTGAATTACCAGTGCTCTTTGAGGCAATATTTTGCTGTTTAGAAGCCATTCCACATTTAATCTTCTCCACCCAATTACTAAATCCAGGCAAACCGCTTGTCTAGTAATTACTATTTAAGTTAGTAATAAATCACTACTGATTTAGTGATCTTTCAGTGTTCTGAGCTCTGTAGAAATCTGTGGCTTCAGAGCCTGACCCCTCCTACAAAGCTGTTCGGCGCCATTTTCTGTGTATTTCTAGCAAGGAATTCAGAAGTCAGAAGGGATTCTTTAAAAAATGGAGTTAAAGACTTAATACATACAATTAGAAGTTCTCCAGTATCAGGTCTACCCGAGTTGGAATCAGTAATAAATCAATCCTTGAGCTGAGGGTGGCCGTATGCCTTTGTTCTGCAAAAAAGGCAGAAGAAGTCCTTGACGCGGAGATTCACTATGTTACCGGGTGGCTCCGTCCTTCCACCCCCAGATTTATGTTCTGGGGGGGGGGTGGTTAAATGGAACTCTGCCAAAACACAGCTTGCTCGCCTCCTCCTCCTATGCCCAGAGAAGTGGTAATCAAACTGTCAAACAGTTGATGGATGCTGTTTAGACATCTTAACGCAGCCAAGGAACAACAACTCCTCTCAGACCACGCCCATCCAGAAGTCTAGTCAAAATAATTCTTATAGATATAGTCTAGGTCTATAAACTATTGTATTATGAAATAAATGAAATTGTATTATAAAATATACAATGTTATCACATGGTGGTCTTGTAAACATGCTAAATGATATTGGATCAATATGATGGTTATGCAAAAAATGCTTAAAATGCAAACATTAATCAAATCTAAAGCCTTTTTCCCAGGTATTATGGATAAATTGACAGACAAACATTTTGTAACCTTATTTGTTTTAATATGATAACAGCTGCAAAGATTGCATATGCTAAATATTGGAAAGAAAAAAGAATATCAATAGTGAAAAATTGATTTTGAAACCAACGGAATTGGCAGAGATGGCAAAATTCATTCTGCTGATTAGAATCAATGGTTTGAGTACACTTATGAGGCTGGAAGTCATTTGTTGAGTTTCTGTGAGTTAAATATAATAATGGGCTGTTCACAGAGGACTTTAAAGTTTAATATAGGGGATTAACCTATTTGATTTGTGTAAGATTCAGATATCAGCGTTCAGCTATGGTGGAAGTCTTATGTTTATGGCTAATCTTATATTTCTTGTATATAGTTTTCTCTTTTTTCATATCTTGTTAGTTATTGTTTTGTTGGTTTTTTATTCTGTATTATATTAATAAGAATATATTAAAAATTAGATGTATACAATAGAGGCTACAGATTCTAAACTTACTTGGAAACTAGTAAACCTACATATATCGAGAGGTTCAAGCTACCTCAGAAGGCTTTAATAAAGATATCTGATGAAGTTAGCTACAGTTCAGCCCTCCAACTGTAGTATATAAACTCCTATTGCTATTATGTGATTACTTCAAACTGCTTTATTTAAACATTGAATTGAAATATTTCTTATGAACGTGCACAGCTGCACAAAAGTATTAGAAAAAAATAAAAGATTGGCTAGAGGAGATTACTACACATCAAATTGCACTAAAACCTGAATTATTTTTGTTAGGGATTATAAAAGGAAATTATGAAAAAAAATATTAAATACTTAATTTTACACATTGTTATGGCAGCGAGAATTATATTAGCACAAAACTGGAAAAATAATTATATACCAACAGAAGAAAATGTAATTTAAAAAATATTGGAATGTGCAGAGATGGATAGGCTCAA